CCGCAGCTCGGGCGGTTTGTGTGCGCATCGAGGTAACTGTCTCAGCCCTTGAGGGCGGCGGGGTTTTTTCGCAAACCCCCCCCTCCCCGGGGACGCCGGTCCCGCATCCCCGGACACGGAGCGGGGCCTCGGAGGGGCCGCCCCGCAGCGGGGGGAGCGAGGCGGGCACGGCCGGGGGGGTTTCTGCGCCAAACGCCTCAGCGCGGGGACGGACACGAGGGGCCGGTCCCTCTGGGGCTGCGAGCGCCCGACCCAGCGCTTGTGCAGGGGCTTTTGTGCCCGTGTCCCTCCCCGGGCAGCGCGGGCCGCTGGAAGGTGTTGTAACTTGAGCCCTTTGTCTCCCTGCAAGGCTCGTGTGGACGCTGACACCGGTTATTAGTGCTTTTTTTTTGCCCCACGGTGCTTTGTTTCATGTTTCCTTCGTTTCCCCTCTTTGCGTGCCGTTTTGGTTTGTTTAGGCACAAATATTGACACGGTGTGAAGTGGGTGAGCGGTTGGTTGTGAACAGCAATCACTTCAGGACAGGCGAGGTCATTGGAACTTACAAACGCCATCGTTCTCCCCGGGACGGTAACAAACTTGGCTGGAGTTTGTTGCTCTAGAGCGCTGCTTTTTTCCTCCGGTGCTGTCTCCAGCGATGTGGATCGTACAAGGACTTCTCGGCAGCTCCTGCTACTGCTTCATTTTCCATTTAGACGTGTTGAGGAAGAGAATTACAAAGCCTAGAGCAAAACGGCATCGCAGTCTTTTCTCTGTATTTAGGTGGCTTTATTTTTGATCCTTTACCAAGGGATGTGAGAACGTTTACTGCAGGAAAATTTGTGGTATTCCTCAGTGAAACCAGTCGTTTTTTCATGCAGAAATAGATAACCTGATGAATTGGTCAGTGTGTTTTTGTAGGGGCTGACACTGTGCATCTAGGGAACATATATTTAATTTCAGTTTAGGTGTGTAGTATCTCACTGGTGCTATTACCACCTGTTACCAACTTCTGCCTGTGCATTGTTTGGAGGGTTCCTTTTCCCCCTTGTATCATGTTTTAGGAATAACATGTTTTCCATTTCATGGCCATGTGAGGGTTTAGCCATTCAGCTCCAGGAAGATTTGCTACTGATACAAATGGCTATTTTTGTATTGGTGCTTTTACAGTAATTTTCTAAGTGATTGTAGCTCAAGTACATTTAGGATCTCTTGGATTAGGATTTCTTGTCCACCTGTCCTAAGTGCAAAAAAAAATATAAAATATTAATTACTGGGATTTTTTGCTACATTAGTCATACATAACCCTATTCTGTGTATGTTTTGGCTTACATTTTGCATACTTCACATGAACATGCCATAGCCACTGAATACTAGACAGCAAGTTAAAAAGTGAGAAAAGAATACACACAAAACACCTTATCATGTTTTAAACAACAGATCCTCCCCAAGGAACCTTCACTAGGAAGAAAAAAAAAAAGTTTGTAGTTGTCTAGCAGATCCATTGCTTTATCCTGGAATTGTACTCTTAGTTTATTTATTTATTTATTTATGATTTTAACCTCAGGTGTTTCAGGTTTACTCTTATTTCTACCTCATCAATTGGGAGGAATGTTCTGGTACAGTACACAGTAAAGTCTGAGTTGTTAACTGCTGACTGTTTTCAGCAATGGAGTGTATCTGAACATGACAATTCTTTTCCCTCTTGATTTCAGCTAGTCAGTAATAAATGAGAATTGTGTCTGGAAATAAACAGGCAGGTAAATTTCAAAAAGCGGTTTCTCCTTTTTTACAGCAATTATTATCCTGGTTACGAGCCAGTGCTTCATGTGTCAGAATTCTTCGTGTTGAACTTTAATTAAAGTAGTGCTTCTAAGATGTCCAGTACAGATTCCCTTACAAATACAGATGAAAAGTAAGTATTTCCTACCCCAAACACACAGGAATACAATTACTGGATTGTAACATGAAAATTCTCATTAGTTTCACTAGTAGGATCTTGTTTTGATGAAGTAACTACAATAACATAAGACACTGCCTGGAGTCTGTGTGTTATAATGCATTACTTTTTCAGAATACTATGCATGCCTTTAACATTCTATATGTAGTGCATATTTGCTGTGCTTGTGCACTAGAATCCAGCAAATAATATTTTCACAGTTTTGTCAAACAATTTATTGTAGAATTGGAGTAACTTGATTTATTTTTGAAAAACAAATCCACAAAGCATTACAAGAACTTGCTTTTTGCTGAAGAAGAGGCCACTCTGCTTGTATAATGGAAATCCAAGGTACCTCTTTACAACAGCCATGGCTTGCTACATTCCTGTGGAAGGTATGTTAGATAATAGGCACCAGATTACTGTATTCCAAAGGGAATTTTTCACATAGGAGATGAACATGAAAGGTGAATGTAACTGCACTTCAGCTACATGATGGCAGAAGACTATAATTTTCTGTACTCATTATTTCTGTTCTGGGAGACAGTATCAGTGCACAATGCCTCAAGAATGTATTTGGTTGGATGTTAATTGAGGTTTACCTAAACTTTAAATAATAGCTTTCTTCTCTGCACAAGGGGTTAGCCTCAAGGCATTTATGTTTCTCCACAATTACAGCTTTGCTTAAAGCTTTTTTTTCATGTTTAACAGTAGCCATATAATGACACATGTATTCTTTTTATCTTTGTGACCTAATCAGCAAAGAGTATTTTGAATAATAAGTGGGTTTGGAGAGATCAGAAGTGTTTGTTCATGCTGTGTGATACAGTGTTCTCTTGGCTGTGGTCAAGTGGAATTTTAGGTTTTAGAGTTGGCAAACCTGAAAGGCTGCAGTTGCATAATCGACTTGTATGGGATTTTTTAAAAACACCTTTGTTTATATAAAAAAGATCTAGTTAACCTTCCTTTTAAAGATTCTGTAAATCTTTTTGTCATCTGCTGAATTATCCTGTAATCCACCTCAGTTGCTAAAGCATTACAAAACTTCCGTTGGGAAAGGTGAGTTGTAACTACTTATGTTGCCAGTATATAATAATTTACTTGCTGTTTGGAAAAGAATCTTGGGGTTTTTTGCTGTTTAAAACAACAAATGAAGTACCCTGAAAACTGAGTCTTGCTGATTTTAGGGGGTTTCCTGGATCTTTCAGGAAGTAAAAAGTAATTTGTGGTCTCTGAGTATGTTCTTGAAAAGCAGAGAACTTGCAAAAGAAGCAATAATACCATTTCCTGTATGAGTCTTAGAAGCATTAAAAGCAGCATAGAAGCAGAATTTTAAGGTAAAGAGGGACAGAAGCCTTGGGGAGGCATCCAGGAAGCTGAACAATTCATGGTTTATGTTGAAGAAGAGATGGAGGAGCAGTTGTCTGAACACTTGAGATATTGCTGGTAATAACTAATGAAAAGAGAAAAAAAAAAAAGAGGTGGGAGCAAAAAGAAACTTAATACTACTTAGTATCTTCTTAAGGTGTTGGGAAGTTTGTTGTGCCTGTTTTAATAAAAAATCATGTTTTGCTTTTTTAATAATGGAAAGGCATAGCCTTGAGTCATACTTTTAATTGTAAAGGGTGGTGGGGGATGTGTTTCTATTGCAGAAAACATGACACTGGAAACAAGTCGTACTGGTCTGAGTGATTTGTTTTGACAAGTATTCCTGATATTCACACCACAAATTGGATTCCTCTGGTGTTGGGAACAATGACAATTTTGATGTGGAAAGGCTATTTGTATTTTATCTTCTGTAACCTTGCCTAGAGCAAATCCAGCTGATACGATGCTTGAAAAATTAAAGGCTCTTCTTTCATTGGACTGTAACACCATTAGCACCAGCAGAGTTAAACTTACTGAGAAAAGACTACAAAGGGCCACATTTTCATCACTGAATGGATGTGAGCAAACTAAATGATTCTAGTGGAGCTCTTCCCATTTTGGGAGTGGGGAAGGCTGCTGTATGTTTCCACTGCAATCCCTGATCTGCTCTTTAGCCTGTGGTGGGTCACTTCACCCTTCTGCCCCTCTTGTGTGTGTAGATTGCAGGATCTAGGCACTGACCTCAGCACACGTGAACACTACTTAGCGTTTTTCCATGCAAAAAAAGATCCTTTCCCAAGAAAATTGTGTGCTAGTAAAACAACAGTCACTATGACTTTAAATAAAAAAAGAGAGACATGAGATAAGCAGATGCATTCCTGCATAGCCCAGCTGTCCTTCTGGGCAGCTCTAGACATTGACAGATGCTGTCTCATCACAGGGTTACTTGCTAGAGAGGATTCACCTTTCTACTTAAGCCAAATGCACAACACAGAATATTTTTCATTTTAAACTGTAATCATTTTAAGATCTTTTAGAAAGAGGGGGAGTTAATAGGAATGTATCTTCTGAGGCAAGTCTGGAAGAAAATAGTAGTTGACTGAGTTGATGTCAGAAGCTCTGAACTTCTGAAAATATGCCCATCTCTGCAGGACAAAGCCTCCTATCAGAAGAGAGTCTTGCCTCTGGGAACAGTGGGATACTTTTCACTTTTTCAACTAGATTATTCTCATTGTAATGATACAAATTCAGCACTTTTACTTTCACAAAAAAAAAAACAACGAACAAACCCAAAAAATGATAACCCAGATGTGCCAGCTTCCATTTCTAGAGAAAACGGATAACCCAGATTCGGTGCTAACTTTTGACTGTCGTACATTGAAGACTAAAACCCAAGGTAGAGCATGACAAGTCAATGCCATGATTGAGAGGGCAAAGTCATAGCATAATGGCATTTGTTTCATTAATGCTTTCAGTCTGCCTGCTCTGTTGCTTTCCCTTTTTGTGTGTGGATATACATAATGCAGTCTGGTAGGAAGATTGCTTTGGAAAGGTCATGAGTTACTGCTTTTGACCTTGTTTGGAGAGAGCATGTAACTAAATTGTTGGAAAAACATGAGAAAATAAGTTCATTTTCTTTTGATTTCATTTGGCTTCTGCTGCTAGATAGAGATTGCAGAATCACAGTTGCAGTACATGCAAGTAAATTTTCTCTCCTTTGCATTTGTCAGTCTTTTAAAGTTGCTGTAAATTGCCACTTCAAACAGAAAAAGTAAACATTACCTCAATAGGTGAATTAGTCCATGTGACGCAGAGGGTTTCAGAGCAGATTAGTAGGCAGAGACACTCATCTTGAGCTCTGTCTGTTTGGGTTTTTTTTAGTTAGTAGCAGAAACTGTCCTGCACGTAACCTTTATCTGGCTGGATTAGAAACCTCCAGTGTGTTTTGGTTGCTTTGTCGTTGTCGTCGTTGCTTTGCTGCTGTTGTGAAGGATGTCGTTGCTCTCACCAGGGGATGAAGATGAACCAGAGCGTTTTGATGGTCTCTCTCTCTTATACTGGTATGCTTAACCGTTGGGTTCTGACAGCATTTTTCTAGCCTCTAATTGTGAAAGGTACAGTAGAAAGGCTTTAAAAGCTGTAGCCATAATCAGCTTCTTTTCATAAGCAGCCGGAGTTTACCATTTAGATTTTTGTTTAAGTTTCAAGTAATATCTGTTTTGTGAGGTAAAGGTGTTATTCTTCTCTTGATAAATGTAGAAAAATATTTTGTATGTGGACATAAATAGCTAATCATTTCTCAGGAATAAGATCAGAAGGATATCCAGAGCCGTGTGTTCTGGTAAAAGTCTTTGGAAGATACAAAACAAAAAGGTGTTAAACTTCTTGTGTATACTTGTAAAAAGTAATAGAAAAAAGTTAATATTTATTGCCATTACTGGAACACCTACACCAAGTTATACACAATCTGTTAGCATTCCAAGACTCCAGCTGGAGCATTGAGTTTAATATTTTTTAGCATAACAAAGTTGTAGTGTGCATTTTATAGAGTCTCCTTTCTTATTTAATCTGGCTCCTCACATATTTTCTCCAGGTGCTAAAAGCTTGCCTACATGTATTTTTCACTACTTCTGTAGGAATGAGCAGCAATATCTTATTACTTAAGTTGCATGTTTTTCTATCATTGACATTTTTTGTTTCTGCTGCCAATTTGTTTGTTATTTCCTTATTGATACCACTGAGCATATTACAGATCTTTTGGGGGGGAGTATTCTAATATTTAATTAATATTAAATACTGTTAACATGAAATACCTGTTGGATGGGTGCTAAATACAAGACTTTTTAGTGTGAGATTGTTAAAGCCCTGTTTATTTTATTAGAACTTTGAAAAGTAGCTCGACTTGAAGGTCTATCTCTAAGTTACATGGGAGGATAACTAACAGTGAGAGTCAGCAAGATGGGATATGCTAAACAAATCTGAGGGATTTGAAGATATTTGTCTTTACTGTTTAGGTGATACGTAATTTTATACTGATGTATTGGAGGGACTTGATCTTTAGAGCATAAACACAATTGAATGTCTCATAGGAGCGTTAGTTCAGTGTCACCCCTTTCTAATTGTAGGTGGCAACATCATGGTAATTTCACTGTTTCATAGATACCTGATTCCTCTCCATTGTACATTATTAGTTTGTTTATTCTCCCCTTCATCAGCATATGCTTTACGTTAGTTTTTGAAGGTGTTGCCTGTTACTTGAAATGTAGCTCCTTTCCCCTTAAGGGGGGGATTTGGGATCAAATATTGCATGATCAATTGCCATCTCTGTTGAGCTAGAGTCTATAGACTGAAAGCCTGATCCTTTTTTGATCCTTTCAGACTTCACAAACATCAACTGGAGTGCAAGGTTGAAACAACATTTGTTTTGCTTTTTTTCATTTTAATAAAAACTGCTATGTGAAATCTGCTGAGGGCATGGCAGAGCAAGAAACAGAGCAGTAATAGCAAAAGACAAGACAGAAGGAAAACAGAATCATTGTCTGCTTATTTTAAAGATCAGTGTTCCTTCTTAAACTTTTCAAAGATGGATGCAAATCAAGCCAGGCCTGTAAAGAACACCACTAGTATGTTGTCTTTCAGTTTCAAGACAGTTTAAATTCATGGGATGGGTAATTGAAGTGACAGTACTAGGCAGCAAGACAAAATACACTGCTATTGTAGTGTAGAAGTGCAAAAGTGGTTTATAAAAAATAAATGGGTAGAGAAATATCAGATGTAAGACCTCATCTTCCTTTCAGACTGTAAGTAAAAGCAGCTCAGTTTACTTCTAGCTGTGCAAAGTGTGCCTTGTGCTCTGGTGTGGAGTAGCAAGGTCAAAAAACTCCCAACAAACTCATCCAACTTTCTTATACAAAACTAGAAGAACTGGGGATGTTCTTTGGAAGTTGGATCTCTTGTCAGGTGCTAGAATTTGGAAACAATTAGGTTGTCTGGATTTCTCTCTTCCCTCTGGCATGGCACCTTTTAATGACATGTCCCGTGGCTCTTGCAGGAATACCCAGTTCCAGGTATGGACTTCAGGCTCTGTGCTGGATTTGATTACATTAGAGGATTTGGGTCACTGTGTCCTCCACTTTGATCTTCTTTTCTCCCCTGCTAATGAATTCTGGTTGTTCCATTTCACATTAACATCATGCTCTAGAAAGTGCAACTCACTATCTAATATAGAACAATATGTAGGTCAAAGGAGATAAATCTAAGTGGTGCTTCTGCTTTTTTCTAGAAGGGATCTGGTGAGTCTTCTCCAAAAAAATAGTACAGTGGGAGGACAGAGGAGCTATGGTACAACTTGTATTTTTTTCTAATAATTCATTTAAAAGAAAATAAAAAATGGTAAAGTGATTTGATTTACAGGAATTCTTAATGCTTTGCATTCTCGTAGCAAGATACTGGTCATGTTTCAATGGAACTGTGAATTTAGGTTCTGAATCTCTAGTTGTACTTTGTATTCTTCCTTGATTCTTTACCACTCTCAGCTGTCTCCGAAAGACTTATCTGCCTTTAGACAATTCCAGGTGCCATTCTGGTATCTTGTCTTGGGGTAGGAGCTGGCAATAGAGTTTGGAAAGAAGCCTTCTGTAAAACAGAAAGAAAACACTGTGGAGTGAAGAAATGAGAGGCTACAGGGCAAAGATTATGTTCATAAATAACCACAAAGTTCTACACTAGGTATCCTCGAAAATATTTTTGTATACATTGCCTTACCTGTGGTATTGTTTTAATATTCATGACCTTATCTAAGACATTAGGATGTATTTTTCTTGCCTAAATGCTAAGCTGGACCAGGTTGTAGGATTTTGTTTCTAATTTAATTCTATGTGTACTTTATTTTGCCTTAGCATTCTAGATTTGTTACAGGGAGATGGATTTTTCACTGGGGGGAAAAGGGTGTCACAGAGATATGAACAATGTAAAGTTGTCAGTTATAGAAAACTGATCTTGGTTTGTATTACAGTTAAAACATGGTCTCTGTAATGTCTTCTACATGAACATAGCTCTACATGCAGTTCTATAATCAGGGATTTAATGGCTTTTATTTTATTCCTTAGGACTATTATGGGCCCTCATGGAATCAATCGAGCTGTTCACCGCATTTCTTTTTCTGATTGTCAGAATGGATTAGGTAAATTTTTTTTAGGTAATTTTTTAGGTAATTAGATTGCACGTTCTTTTGATTCAGAGCAAACCAAATCTAAAAGCACCTGGTGAGCTCTTCCAGTTTACATTGTCATCAGTAGAAGTTTAATTTCTCTGACTTTTATGGATGTGACTGTAGATCCATTTAGCACGGTAGGTGGAACAACTCAATTTCTTGCTTGTTTCTTCTGTTTATACTGCAGGAGTTAAAATTATTGGAGGTTATCGGGCCCAAACAGCAGAAGATTATGGGATTTTCATCAAGAGAATTCTACCTGGGGGGGTTGCTGCTGTAGATAGTAAGTAATTTTAATTTTTTTCTTACAAACACACTGCGCAGAAAAAGCTATCAGAAGAAATGTGGGTAAGGACATTTAAAATAGCATGGTTTAGTCAGCATTCATGATGTAGTTTACCTGAAGAGAGAGAAATGAAGCTTGGACCCTTCATGAGAACTGATTTTACTACTCTGTTCTTGGCAAGGTGTTCCAATCTAGATGTGGCTGGTGTGACAGCAGCTGGCCATCTTTCACTAAATAACTGTTGAGGTGCTGAACCTCTTTTAATGTGTAAGGTTGAAGAGGGGTGTTTCCTTCACACAGCAAGCAATTTTAATGGCTTCTGGTATTTATTTAGTTTTTAACTGGTGGTTTAGATGTTCAGTGTGGAAAGAACAAATTATAGGAGGTAGAGTTTGCAGTAATAAAGTTACAGAATATACTTCTGTCCTAGGTCTGTATAAGGGTTTTTTTGAGATTCCATCTGGTGTTGTGCAGAATGATAATTTTAAATATTTCAAAAGTGACAGTCCCTAATGCAGAAAGTTTAAAATAGAACTGATTCTAAAAAATCTTTTAGATGTATTTATTAATGTATAAAGCATTAAAGTATTTATATGTGGTAACTTACATGTAAGTTAAGTGCAGCTGAAAGTTAATTCTGCAACTGTGAATTGTAAATTCCAGTCCCACAAATATTTGTGCTATATGTAAATAATACAGATAGTCACATAACACTTATTTTCAGTGGCTATTCTGTCAGTAATAAGACTCATTACTGTCAGTCTTATGACACCAGCCTACCTTAATTAGGATCAGAACCTAATTTGCTAAAAATCATACAGTTGTTTATTGCATTACATCATATAACATGGAAATAAGCCCTGTGTTATTACTGAGGTAGAATATGTTCACCATTTTCCTGTTGATTTCATTACCAGGCCGTTTGCTCACTGGGGACCTAATTTTGGATGTCAATGGAGAAAACTTAATTGGAGTAACAAATGAAAAGTATGTACTGATTACTAAATGTTTATTAAAGCTTGGAATACTATCTGGGTTTTTTGGGGGCTTTGTTGACCACTTATGAAAAGAGCACAACTCCACTGAAGTCCTTGGAGTTCAACGGGCAATTCATTCCTCTTATAAATCTAATTCAGCAGAACTCTTGTGGAAAAGTGTCAGGACTTTATATGCTTTTATGATAATAAAAAGCTAGCTGTTTAATGATGTGGATTGTAGAATGTATGTGAAAATATCATTAAATCATATTTGTTAAAGATATATATTTTAAAAGTATTTGTATAACTGTTTGTTCAATGCTGGTGAATGTAGGTGGTGCAGCTACACAAGTTTCGTTGTAGTGGGACAACAGAGGAGATTTTGAAAAATCTGTAGAGCACGTTGGCTGGTTTCTGTAGTTGGCTTGGCCAGAGGTCAGTGCAGCTCAGTCTTGGAGGCATAGATTTAAAATTCAAAGCAAAATTGCAGTATATATTGCTGAGGGAAATCCTGAGCAGTGAAGCGTGGGTGACTGATAGTTCTTAGGTGTAGGCTGTTCATCCTGAAGGAGATCTAGGAAGGCAGTAGGATGGGCCAAGGAGAGGTAAATGGCATCTGCTAAAGGGAATGGAAAGACAGGGCAATCCCAGCTTATTCCTATCACCAGCCACAGACTTTCACTCAGGTCTCCATTGCTTAATTTGAGTTGTGCTGCTGGCAAGCTTTTTTCTCTCTATGTGGCAGTCAGAATGATTGACTACATTAAGAATTTGTTGATTTTGGGGCTCTTCTAGCATTACCCACCATGTCCTTCTTGACAGCCCCTGGTGTATTTATTTGACTGTTTTTCTCCCCTTCTAGGGCAGTTGACATCCTGAGAACAGCATCAGCATCAAATCACATGTCTCTGCTGGTTGCCAGAGATGAAGAAGCAAAGTAAGAGGCAACATAAAACATTGTTTCAACCTCAAAACTAATAAAGAGCCAAGACTGTATCTAGGATTAGGTGGGCAGGCTTGCATGTCTTTCTCTTGTTTTTCATAAAGCTGCACCACATGTCACATTTTTCTCTGAAGAATTTGATACCAAGTCATTGTGAGACTATTTGCATCAAGTAAAATAGCAAGCTCAGGCCAACTTCAGAATAATGAAAGGACTGAAATGTTATCTTACCAGCTAATACCATTAAAAGTTATTTGCTGTGATGATTTTTTTTTTTTTCTGCTTCTCACATTTTAAAATAGTAAAAAGCCAAGGAATACCTTAGATCAACGGTACCACAAAACTGTATGATTTAAGCTGGGAAAGAGGCAGATTTATTTTTTGTTTCCCCTCAGAAATTTGCTTTTTAGTCTTTGATGAGCTTTGAATTAGTTTAGATAAGGAAGTTGAACTGTTTGCTGCAGCAGGTAGTCCAAAAATACTTCCGATATAAGGACATTTCTATTAAATATTGCTTTAACCTTGCTGTCTACAGCTAAGCATATAAACCACTCTTGGCAGAGAATCATTGGGAAAGCTGTGATCCAGGTCTGTATCCCCTTTTCATTCAGATCTCCAGAGGAAATGGCTGTTATGTAACTATATTTGATAATCATTGCAAGAGTTTCTGCTGTTATTTGCCTTTCCTGGGATGTTCCACTTACAGAATAATCTCTCCAGAAAGGAATTTTCTCTAAATTCCTTTAGCCTTTTGTCCCATTTAAGCTTCCTTTTTCTGCTCCTTTATTTTTTGCATTTAACAGACATTTAAATCCTCTGTAGCTTCAGATCCCTCCTCTATTCAGACTACCTAGATATATGTGAGGTCCACTCTTAATCTGCTTTTATCTAAAGCATACTGACCTAGTTCCTCTAAACTCCTTGAATAATTAAAAGCCATCAGTCCTTTTACTGCTCTGGTGGTGTGCCCAGTGCCCTGGGCAGAATTTGCCACTGTGTACAGTCCCTCACTCAGACTCCTGTGAATTCGTTTCGTGTGACTGTACATTCCTGTGCTGAAGAGAGTATTAAATGTACACTCAACTGTGTTTGTGTGTGTTCCTTCACTCTGGCATTAATTCAGTAAGTTTTGTTATTGAAAGAAAAAATAACTCAGCAGATTTCAATAACCCTTTGCAGTCACTGTTATGACTTTGGCATTTTGTTCCCTGCAATCAGTTAATTTATATTCTCTGTAATTCTGTAATGTTAATTTGCTGATGTTTCTGGTTTACATCATTCTAGATTGTTTATATTTCTTTTATCACTGAGGTACTACCATAGCTTGTCTTACAACATTTTGGATTAAATTAGGCTGCCTTCAGTATTAGATTAATCAGGAGTTTTTGTTTTCTCTTTGATGCATGTAATACACAATGTACATCTTTGCCACTTTTTTGTTAATTGATTTAGTTTTGTTTTAACCAGGTTGATACAATATGATTTGTTTTTGCAAAGAACTGCTTTGATTATATTTTTTTTTTTTTTTTTCAGCAGTGTGCCTGACCAAGAATTACCCTTTATTTAGTCTGTTTGGCCTTTAAAAAAAAAAATTGTAATAAAAATATAAGCAAAGCCCAAGCACATACAATATTTAGTATATATTTACATTTACCTTAGATGAAATAGACTGCAAATTTCTGAGAAAGCTAAAGAGAAGTTAAGAATCTCTCTTTACTCATTCTTGAATAACTATTTCTTCTCCCCTCTTTTTTGAGGTGCCACAGCTTGCTTTGCCAGTCTCTTCAGGGTTCTTTTTCAGTATAGCTTTACAAAAAGTGGGTATGCTATAGGTCTCTGACATGATTCTTTCTAATATAAGTAACATGGTTTGGACCTAGGTAAAACCAGTGTTTTATTATCTGTAGTTTATTCAAGTTACAGGTTTTTTAAGTTTTGAAATTCAAGGTGAAGAGAGGTAATATTTAAGCTTTTCTACCAAGAGTCCACTCATTCCAAGTTAATTGGAATTCCATGCTTATCCTTCTCTATTTCGTTATCTCTTTCTTGCCACTTCTAAGTGTTTGACAGGGCTTTCCTCTTCAGTTGAGGTTGAGCTTCCTTCTCTGAGGAAGTCTAACCACTGAATAGAAGCAGTAGCAGGTTTCATAGGGTGCATTTGAACCCCTGCCAAATCCTGATGGAAAGGATCTTTTTATTGCCACAGGAAAGAATTTCATGACCTGATGGATAAATATGGCTCTCACAGTGGCACCAGTTCTTCAAGAAGTTCTCCAACACCACTACCAGCTGGTGAGAGATTGCTTCCTAGCCTGACATAATCCTGTAGGACAATAGTCCTACTCCAGTGCAGCAGCAGCTTGCATTTAAAACTCCTATTTGGGGGGAGGGTATATTGGAGGAAGTGTCTGAAAGTCAGGCAAAACACACATGTTTACTTTGTAACATTTAGTTTGTAGTCTAAACATGTAACTGGACAGGTTTGTGTGTCAGTTTCCCAACTCTTAAAATAAATACAATCTCACCTAGTCTCAGCAATTTTAATGAATGAAAAATGTGAAAGGTATTTGGTATTTGTAGATTAAATGTACCATAAGATTTCAAACTACTAATGAAAATTTATTTTATTGAAAACATAAATTCTAATCCTTGGGGAATTGTTACCTAATTAGGATGCCTCTCTATAGCAGGAGTGATTGTTCAGTTGAGATTATTTTTGCATCCAGTTTGAAAAAAATCCAAACATCACTTGCTATGTTTTGGTTATTCCTGGAACCCTGGGTGGCTCTTTTTAGCTGTGTATGCTTCAACTTTCTTTTGGGCATTTGGTTGCTTATAGTTTGTTTTCTAACATGAGAATAGACCCACTGAACTCACATAAGTTGAAAATTTGGGGTTTTTTTCCCCAAATTTGGGTTTAATTTCTTTTTTTCTTTGTTTCTTTAAGCAAAGAAGGGCAGCTCTTCTACAGACAGCTCTTCTTCTGCCTCTTCCTCAAGGTCACAGAGTCCTCAGCTGCATCCAAAGGATAATATCATGACCGTCAACAGAAACAATTCTGTCCCAGCACCATCCCCAAAGCTTGCAAAGTAATTTCTGAAACTGTAACTCTTCTGTGAGCTGTAGGAAATGGTGTATTTGGCTACTCTGCAAAATTCTGGGTTCAGCATTAAGTGGTCAAGTTTGTTTTGTTGTTTTTTTAAATCCCATAAGTTATAATACCATTGATATTACAAACTTCCAATTTTAATAAGGTATTTTCCTCATTTATTGATTGTTTAAATGGTAGAAGTAGATTAATCAGATTGACTAATGTTCTTAGTGTCTCCTAACAAATTAGTGTTTCTGGTTTATATCTAGAGTAGAGAGGAGCTTTAATTCTTGTAAAATAATAACATATAATAATTATATGTATATTTTAAAAAGTAAAATAAAATAATGTATCAGTTCTTTCTGTAATTGCCAGAAGTAGCAACTGAAGTTGCTGATTTTATAGTAAGTAACCAGTGTAACATTTTAACATTGGGCTTAAACGTCTCCTGTTTCTATTTGACACATTTGTGAAATCAGACTTTACTGAGTATCTAGTTCTGTGAAGTAATCACACTTTTCTGTTTTCCTTTCTATTTGTAGGGATAGTGCATTTCAGATCATCTCTGTTTGCAAAGGAACAAGCCTAGGTTTGAATATTGTAGGAGGAATTAACAGAAATGAAGGGCCTTTGGTATATATTCAAGACATTATCCCTGGTAGTGACTGTGATAAGGTAAAGATGTTTTTCCCTCCCTTCCCTTTCAGTCACCTGCATTTTTACCTTCAGTTAGTACCTGCTTCAGTATTTTATATATACAGTTATATTTTAAATACAAATGTCATTACAGGCTGCATTCTGTAAACAAAACTATCTGATTGCATGGTTACATGGTAATGAGAATTATTCATGCATTCATTTGAGATCAATAAGGATCTTATTCCCCAATTTACATATAAGGAAGTAAGAAATGAGCTTCTGTAAGATGCTGCATTACACAAGGTAAATCAGCAGGAACAGAGCTACAGATTGCAACTCTTCTTTCTTTCCTTGGTCATTCAAAAAATAATTTTTCCCTTGGACTTAGTTTAGGTGGATCCTTGCAGTTGGAAAGCATTGTGTAGGCAAATTAGACTACAAACATTCTGATGGTGCAGACTAATAAAATGCATGAATCAGCACTGATTACTGTTTTCATGTATGACAAATGCAGGATGTAAATTAGCAGGGTTTGCCAGTTTTAAAACATAAACAAATAAGAGAAGTGTCTGCTTCAAGTGCACAAAACTGTTGAATCAAGTGCCACCTTCTGCATCCTGAGTTGTTAGGATTATCCTGATGTGTGGATAACAAGTTTGTGCCTGTTGCCAGCTAACAGGATACGAGTTAATTTCATAAGTTGTTTTTGAGACTTTTGGCTCAAAACAGTCTGTACCTACTGGATTTTTGTAGATGAAGGTTGATCCCAAAATGCCAGGATGGGAGTTACAAATGCAACATTTCTCCAGGACATCTTTTTATAGATAAATGGTAATTGTTCTTCTTTTGTTTTCTCCTATTTTGTTGTGGCTTCTAACACATTTTTTTCTCATTGTAAACAGTCTATCATACAGAATTGGTGGACTGAGACATTAATTTGCATTAGGTTCTAATATTAGCAAAATTGAGGTAATTTCCCAATCTTGCCTCTCCTATTTAGGATTTTAAATCTCTGCCACATGAGGGCAGCATTGAAATGGATATAGGCTAGATGTAAGTGAAATGTAAGATTTGCAACTTTTTTCTTTAATCAAAACGAAAACACTGAGAGAAAATAAAGTGCTCTCATAGATTTGAAATAACACTGGTAAAATTATGGCATATGGGTATTAAATATGTAAAATTACACTGCTCTTGAAAAGGTATTTTATATATTTCCTATGTGTCTTCTTCTGTACACAGTTTGTTTGACATAATTCTGTGATTAATTTCTTTAAAGCTGAAGAACACAGACATATTATGTGCAATTTAATGTGGATCACATTAGATAAATGTCATAACTAACTCTGTAACCATAGGTGAATTACATGAATTTTCAGGTAAATTGTTGAGGCCTCTTTTAAAATGTGAATAAAGAAAGCTTTATCTTAGTGAGAAATCTAGCCTGGCATGTCTTAAGTCTTGTTTTACAGTCTCTGAGACAGAAATGTGATACGTTCCTGTGTTGGTAGAAAGCTTACGGTTCATTCAACAGAGGCAATTGGCAATACCATGATGGTTTTCACTGATGAATTCCTAAGAGAGTGATCTGGTTTTCTCATGAAGGTTAACTAAGTGCCTGAAGAGTCCCACGTATAGCCAAGAACATTTGGTTTTGAAATACAGATTAATCCACCTCACAGCTGAATAATTACTAAAGAAGCTTCCTGTAGTCTAGATTCCTAGATGGATTGGGATTCCTTTCTGGAAGAATTACTATCTGTGGTTGGTTTGTTTGGGGTTTTTTAAGGGTTTTTTCCCTTTTTTAAGGGAAATATGCACCTGGGTCCAAATTTCTTCTTTACACAGTATCTGAGATCCTTTCTGTCTGGTGAAGCTTCTGTAATGACTGCTATTGTGGTGATTGATGATTGTGTGATCTGCTGTGCATTTCTGGAAGATGGTATAGTCATTCTTGATATTTCTTACCTTACCAAATCCAGAGGAATATGCTAAAATGCTGTGATCACACATTTCTGTCTCTAGTCTTAGTAATTATTATAAAACTCGTGGTTGATTTATTATTTTTTTTTGTGATTATTTGTTATGTTAGGATGGACGATTGAAGCCTGGAGATCAACTTGTATCCATAAACAAAGAGTCAATGATTGGTGTCTCCTATGAAGAGGCAAAAAGTATAATCAACAGAACAACAACAAGGTATCTGTTACTGTCAAACAGCTCAACCTCCAGAATGTTTTTTTATACAGTATTTATGATCAGGTTGTGAAATGTCTTGTCATGTGTTCTTGGAGCAAAATGCAAGGGACTTTGCAATTTAATGTTAAAAAAAAAGTAATATTATTTTGTAGAAAAGGCTCAAATGCATCTTTTAGACATGTAAAATTGTGATACTTCCTTTCAAAAGAAAAAAAAACAACACACTAAACCCAAACCCATGTTATTTGCCTTTTTTAATGATAGGGAATAGAACATCCTTTTAGAAAATTAAGTAAATAAAGCCGCACACTGTTTGAGAAAATCTTTGCAAGTGTGATGTATAATCTTATGAACAGTATAGTATATAATATGTTGAAACTTTTTAATTTTAGGTTTGAAAGCTTTTGGGAGATAGCTTTTATTAGGCAAAAAAATTCTCCCAGTTTTTCAGAGAATCTGCAACGCCCTTTCAGTCTCTTAAGATCTCCTGTGGCACATGGAGAGCAACAGGCTGCAGTACTTAGTCCTCTTGCATCTCCTAATGGGAAGCTTGTTTCAATGTACACTCCAAGTGCTGTGAGTATAATTGTTATTCCTCTTAGTATAAAGTGAGTAAATGGTATTTTTTCTTAATTTTATTGGAATATCAATATAGGATTATTTTAATTCAGTTTCTATTCTAGTAAGAAAATTACTAGCTCTTTTCCTGTACAATATTAATTCTTTCAAATAGCAAGACTTTTCCAGAGGCAAATAACATGTAACAGTAGAGCAAATCACACTGATGAGAGGAATTAAGAGTATTAGTTGACTTGTGGTAAAAAAACAAATAAAATAAGTATTAACCATATTCTTAGATACAAAGTTCTCCTTACTGTTTCTCCAGGGAGTCAAGTTTCAGAATGCAGTTATGTATTTCAGAGATAAAGTACTCTCAGATTACTACATATGGATGAGTAAATTAGAATCTCACAAGTTGCATTTTTTCCATGATGGTGACATTTTTGCTTAAAAATCAGACTCCTACAAGAATGTGGATTTTTCCTCTTATCTTTCAGCTAAGCAACAACTGTTTTAATCCAGCTCACCATTAGTGTAAAGAAGTAATACTGACCATAAGGAAGAAGATTTAAAAACTACTCTGTTATTTCAATTTTTAAAAAAACATTTTCAATGCATTGCATTTTAAAAAATAAAGTGTTGTCTTTGAGCAAGGGAGGATAAAATGCTCCATGTCAAACACTAAGTCAAGAAAAGTGATCTTCAATTGTTCTTAACTTTGTACTGAAAATTTTTGCCCATATTTCTTTCCAGTTAGAGATAGAAGTGTTGAAACAGGTTGCGTAGAGATTGTGTTACCTTAATCTGTGAAGATATTAAAAACCCAGCTAAGGTTTTGATAAGACCCTATCTAAAATTTTTGAATGACATTCCTCACAGCCACCACCCCTGCCTTCCATGTTCTCCTTGGGTTGTTTTGATGCACCCAGACTTATTTCTCCTCCTAAACATTCCACCCTCTCCCTCTCTGTTACATTGATGTGTATTTCTAGCTTGGCTTGTGATCTGCTTTGGAAATGGTATTTCCTAACTTTTGATTTCCTTTCATAGATGGAAACTGGAGTCAAGATGGGAGAGCCATCTCCAACTCTAGACAGCAGTCCTGCTGATGTGTCTGCCAAAGGTAAATGCTAATTTAATTCTCTGCCACCTTTTTTTTTTCCTTCAATAACTGTCACATGGAAGTTAGTACATAGTGAGACTCAGCAGCCTTTAAGAAAAGAACATTGCACTGGTTTATAGTACTGAATAAAGAACTGAGATCAATGGATTGGTTAGTAGCTTCTGTCAAAGGTAACTTATATTGTCTTTAAGAAGCACTTAAAACCGAACAAAAATGAGTGATCACATTTGGTATACACCAGTAATGATAATAGACTCAGTAGAAACCAGATAATGAAGACTCACATATAGATCAAGATTAGGTTGCCATAGAAACTGTGCTTTCTTGATTGATGAATTTCTGTGGCTCTGTGCTGCTTGTTCTTTTTTTCTTTAAACTCTGGGCAGCATAGTGGAAAGATAGAAATAGCACACAGACCTCTTTAACAGGTTTTCAATCAACAACAAATAGACTATGCACGTGTGTTTATATTTGAGAATCATGGCATTCAAACAAATACAATAGTTGCTTTGGTTGTATTTCTAAATAGGTTTTTTGAAAACAACACTAAGGCAAAATAGAGCTCCTAAACATTGGTGAGAACCAAATCTGAAATGAACAATTTTAATCCCTTTGGGAAACAAATGTGTTGTGTTTGCAAACAGTGAAAATGCAGTAATCTGACATAACCGTGAGTGTCTCACTTGCCACAGCAATGTAACTGTTTCTGTTTTGTATTTCTCTATGGAGACTTGAACTATATTCTTTTTGTTCAGGTGTTAGTAAGTAAATATAACCTTTTCTTCTCAACTTGATGTATAATATACTGAGAAGAGGCAGGACAAATATACAGGATCTGATTCATTCTAGATGTCACTCACTGGTGTTATTGAAATTTGACCTGCATTTATTTTGGCCCATATTAGATATCCCACTTTTAAATGAAACAGTCTCCATATTGCAAATCTGACTGGTCAGCTGCCTTGCTTGAAGAGTGAGCTGGCTGAATAGGAACTCCTGAAACTGGAAAGGTCATAGTGTTGAGTACACCTGCAGTTTAATGAACACACAGGGTTTTTTCATATTGATCTTGAAAAACACTGCGAGTAAATCAGGGAAAAAAGACAAAAGGCTGTTTTTCAATATAATCAGAATATAAGACTCCTAGTTATTATAATGCAATACACAGGAGCTTCATTGTTGCTTAAAGAGACCAAGAACGCCACAGTTTCTTAACATATGAGTAATGTAGAATGGAAGGCAGAAATACTTGCAGCTCCAGTTTGTACTGTTCCTTGACATATTTCATTTTAATCTTATTTAATATCGTATCTTCAGTCAAAGCTGCCACTTCTCTCAAGCTGCACTTTTTCAAGAATAACCTTGAAAAATTAGAGTAGCTCTTAGATTGTTTTTATTTAATGCTGTAAGAAAATCAGCATAGTTTTGATAAATTCTAGCACGACCTTATGCACAAGGCTTTTTTGTTCTCAGTTGAAAGGAAGTGTGCCGATTCAGCTGAGGTTCTAGTCCACTGTCTTCAGAATTTAATATAGCATGTGAGAGGTGTTAAGTGTCAGAGATTTTCAAGATGTTTTGGTTTATGCTTTTGGCATATAAAGAGAATGTAAATTACTTGGAGCTTGGAAACAGATATGCTGTGAAACTTAAAAAAAATAATCATTCCATGCAATTCCTTCTGTTCCTTCAGAGAGTATCTCAAACTGCAAGATCCTTTAGTTTTCAAATGCTAGTCTTGGTTTCAGTACCTCTCTAGTCCTTTAATGAAATAATGAATTAAGATCTAAAATATATTTATGAAAAATTAATACAAACAAGTGTTCTCTTTTCTTCTCAACAAACAAGCCAATGAATTTGTTCTGTTTACATACATCTAAAATCCTAAGAAACTGGTAGCTAGCTGCTCCTTTTGCCTATTGTCTGGGATGAAAGGCTTCCAAAGGTTGCTGCTGCTTGTGTCGTATCCACAAGTGTGTCAGAAAGATGACAAAGCTGTAACTGCATTTCTTGAGTTCCATTAAAACCAAATTAAAAACAATTATTCTGAAATCTTGACTATGAAGTGCGTAGTACTGCTAGCTTCCTTTCCTCAGCTTAGTCATTTGTGTATGTTGGAAATCAAATAGATGCACCATAAGTTATTCATGCAAGTAGCTGAAAGTATGGGAGCTTGAATTTTTTACTATCAGGACTGGAGGAGAGAGGATGATAGATGATGGGTTACTGGATGTGGAAAAGAGTTTCTTCCCAGGGAATAATACTGAGGAGCCTGCTGTAATTCAGTCTAAGCTACCTCCATGCAGGCCTTGGCAACAGGTCTTTCCCTTGCTATCCACAGGGTTTTCTAGATCACTAGATACGCTTTTGGGAGCTGGTGATTATGCTGAGAGTGTATCTTGAAGGTCTTTCCTGGAATTCACAAGTGTTTCCTTTTCTGTTTCCAGTGTAACTGTGTCTCTCTGAGAGATGAGAAAACACCACAAGTATGAGCTGTTTGCTTGATGAATCTCTCAGTAATTCCTAGTTTCTTCCTGCTAATTTGTTACTTGTCACTTTTTGATGTGAAAAAATGGTTTAGTGATTGATAAGCATAATTTTTGTTTATTACTATTCAGTACTTTTTAAAAAAAGTCAATCTAAATATTAACAATTATTTGATGCATGTGGGCATTGATCTGGCATCCATTTGATGAGCAGAGCTTCAGAACAATTTTTTCAAAGCAATAATTATAGCTGTATCATTATTGGATTTTCTTTACTTCTTAGCTATTGCCTCCAGCCAGAGTGATGATTATGAGCTGCAAGGAAAGAACTCCACTATTTGTCTCAAAGCAGAAAAGCTGGAGAGGGTAAATACTTCATCTTTTGAGTCTTCTTTTCTTCCCTTCATGATACATGTAAAACAGCTGGAGAATATTTCTAGGTTGACAAACTTTAAGGTATAAATTATACTCCAGATTTTCTATTTGGGTAGCTTTTTCAGGTTGCAGGCCAACATCTCATTTTATGTATTGGGCAAATTACTGGTTTTGTTAATCTAATTACTGATTAACTCTTCTGGGAATCTAGACATCCCTCAGGATTTTTAAGGCAGTTATTGAGGACAAAGGGTTTTGCTTATTACACTCATCTGTATTCAAGGTTAAATAATATCTGAACATTTCTCAATTAGAAGGAAAAGTCATAGAGTGTCTCTGGAATAAAAGTGTTGTCAGTGAGAGTGTACAATGATACAAAGGCTCTTTGAAGCAAAGCTCCTTAATTACTCCCTCATGTCCCTACAGTCATTATCCCTAGTCCTTTCTTTTCTTTTTCTTTTTCTTTTTCCTCCTCCAAAATAAGTTTTCTTCTTCCAGGCATTGAAATATCTTGGGATTCAGCTCACAGACGACCAGCAGCAAGCCCTAAGGCAACAACTTCAGAAAGATTCTAAAGGAACAGTGTCTTTTGAAGGTAATAATTTCTTAATTATCATGGAAAATAATTAAATGTATGAATATAGAAATAATAGATAATAACCATTAATATATTTTCTGTATGTATTGTGTTGTTAATGCAAATAAAATGATACTTTGAGGCAAGAATCTTATGCTACTGTATAATAATAAGCTTAGAGTTCTGAAACAAAGTAATTGGAAAGCCAATCACAAATTTATCTAATTAAGAGCAGCTTTGAGAAAGTTTTAATTTTATGCTCACAAATTCCTACATTTTTGCCTTAGTGCTTGGGTATTGCAGCTGTTCAAAACTTACTTGAGAGAGTACTGATAGTTAAATAGACTTCTTGAAGCAACTCAACAGACATAATTTAACTTGTTTAGTTTGTGAAAAGCAAGAACATTTCAACTATTGCATATAGAAGAGTTTTGCATGGAGACCATCATGATTCTTCATCTAGCTAATCCTCATTTGGATGAGAATGAGTTGCTACTGTTAGTTATGGCAATTTGGGTAGGTGACACTAACAATTTAAGAATATTTATTGTAAACTGTTAAGACACATGATAGTTCTGATGCTGAAACTGATGGAAATTTCACTTCTGACATTTATGAAAAACAGAATCAAACACCACTGTATGAGAAATAATTCCTTCTTCTTAAACATCCAAAAAACCACTAGATTTTCAAATACGTTATCAGGAAAGATACTGGATCTTCCATCAGATTTTATGTGGTTTAAATAAATTGGCCTTTATATTTCTACTTTTCTGTCATATTGTAGCAGATTATTTTTTTAGACATACAAAACAAATGGTGGTCCAAGCCCTGTTGACTGAGGATGCTGTAGTGTCTGTTTTAAAACTTCCAACTTGGTCAACATCAGTGTTACCAGGTGTTTATCAGGGTGGAAAGGACCAGCAAAGGAAACTGAGCTATGACCTAGCACAGAAGTTTTTCTTTTCCCTGCAGAGACACTGTCTCTCCTTCAGTAAGGTGAATTCATTGGGAAGGGCAGATGGATAAAAGGTTTGCAGATTTCCTTACATTTTTCAGAGGGGTCTGCCAAATGTAGGGCATCTCTAACCAGGTACTTTGAAGGTGAACTTCACACCACCTTTTGTTTTCCTTTCTCCTTCCTTGCTTGATTCAGGGATATTGCATCTCAAAGCCTCTTCTGAACATCTTTGCTCTTACTCTCACCAGCTTTACCAAATGTTTCTGTTCAGAGAGATGTGTCTGATTTTGATAGTTTCCTATAAAAAGCTTATGGAGGGCAGATGCTGCTGTTACAAAAGGTAGCCATGGATTGTGATACTGATAGTTGTGTTGCATCTAGTGATACTGCTACAAAACTGAAGGTGTGAACTACAGCAACAAAATATAAACTTTTTTAGATTTTACTGAAGTTTCAAGACATCTGTTCTCTATGCAATTGAATTCAGCAGATGGTGACCAAAAATATGCAACATTTGGGATCAAGGAAGTTGCCAGTTTACTGGATTCACAGGTAAAATATGTGCCTGTACAGTAGGAGGAGATTATTGGCAGTCCTATTATATGTAAGGTTGCTCCACATCTTGGGCAGATGTTTAGGACAGCTCAATATGATGGTGTTCTTTAAGATAACCTCTTTTCTGTGAAGCTTTTTAAAGCAACCTGCTTTGCGGAACACAGTCCTTGTAATTAACTTGTGATTTGTTCCAGGGATGGATAACAGTGATTTTCTGAGGTTTCTCAATGGAATAAATGTTGCTGCTACTTGTGTGAATGAGAAACAATTTCTTTGGCCCAGTGATTTGAATTACTGCTACACTGAAAATATCATTATTCTAGGGGTGACTTGAAGAAAGAGCAGTTGCAGCATAGAAATATTAACATAAAAAGACTTCAAATAATGAATAAAATGGGGGCTATTAGTGTTGTATTTTGGTACTTTAAAAATATTTTTATTAATAATTTTTAGCAAGAAAAATTGTTCCTTTGGAAGATAAGATGGTGAGAATTTTCTTAAATGTTTTTAGTATTTTTGAAGCTTTAAATTATTTTAAAATGTAGATTAACCTCTCATTTTATTAGTAAGATAAGATGTTAGAGGTAATAGAAGATGCAGTTAGCAATACATTCTAACCTCATGTATCTAAATACACAGTTTGTAACCTGTGATTCTTTGGAGAATGACATGGAAAGACTTAAGAAAGAAAGAAATGAAGCTTTAAAAGAAATGAGTAAATTAAAGGTAATACTTTATTTTTATTTGCTTTAAATTATTTAAGAGACTAACTTATTTTTTAGTGTGTTTAGTAATTTACTGCTTTTCTTTTGAATTTTATGTGCCATTTTCGATGAATAAATAAAAAAGAATGTGAATGTTGAGTTGTACAGTGATCTGTTAAAGGCACAAAAATGTCTTTCTTCTACTCATTTGCTGGGTGGTGAGGTAGCAAGAGACTCAAAACTTGAAATTTAATTATATAACAGAAACATCCAGGAAATAAACCTCAGATGCTCAAGGATCTTAAACACCATTAACAAACTCTCTGAAAAACTAACATTTAGAGATTAAAATTGGGTTTTATCTTAGCTTTTATAAAAGCTCTTTATTATTTATTATTTCCCTCAGAACTTTTAACATTTGTACATTCCTAATTATACAATGTTACTAACAGCCATATGTTGTGACCTAGAAACACAGTAGCTGCCCAGAAGGCAGTAAGTACATGGGCAGGAGTTAAGGATTGCTACCTGTAGTTTGGAAAGAGCTAATTGGGTTTTAGGAATAAAAACTCTAATTATTGATTAGTTTTTCCTTTTTCTTTTTAACAGGAAAAATTGTCTGAATCTGTGAATTTAAAGAAACAGTTAACAGAGGAGCTACAAATAGTCAAGCAAGTATGTTGAAGTTTCTTAGTATAATTATACTTTTAAAAACGTTTTTGGGGATCAGAGGACTTCTGTCTCTCTTGATGCTCCTATAGGTTATACTTTCACACTGATTTCAACACAAAGTGCTTCTTTTGTTACTATAAAGCTGATTAGAATTGGACAATACTGATCCTTAAGTTTTTAGAGCAATGCTACTTCTCTGCTGTTCAATTGAGTAGCAACCGTAAGACAAGTTGAATCAAGTAAGTTGGATAGTAATGTGGTACCTGTCTGCCCTTAAGTGTTTTTGCAGAAATTTTGCTGTTGCTGTGCAACAGTGTGCCAAATCTGCAGTCCTAGCTTGAGCCATTTGGTATATCAACCAGAGTCTTAAGCATGAAAAAATAGATGTACTTCTACATGGTATTTACCAGAAAAAGACCTGCCTGAAGTGCTTGGTGAGGAAAGCCCTGTTTCTGTCTCCATACCTATAACTGGGAAAGGAGAAATCACGATTTCTATGAACTTTAGCCTTCTCGTGTCTCTTAAAGGAAATTTCCAATTGTATCTAAGGAAGTTAGGCTTGGACAAAGGTGTTTTAAGTGGCAGCAATGCCCGTTTTCTGCCACGTGGGGCCCTCGTACCGTTATTTTTGGTCCAGGACAGTTATAGGACGGTGAAGGTCAGCTTTGCAGGGCAGCCAACCAGGGGATAAATACTCTGATTTTATAGTAAACATTTAAAATAACTACTGTTGAAAAGGTTCCATGTAGTGAGATGAAAGTAAATAATACATTCTATGCAATCACAGCACTATGTGACCTCTTTTAGGAGATACAATCAGTCTTTTAATGGAAATTTTAGTTCTCTTTATACTATGGTACATTTTCACGTATTTATGTCTGTTTCTGTAGTTCAGAACCAGTGTTGATGCTGAGATACATGATGATATGAAGTTTAAAAATAATAGGCTAATTACAGTAAAGTTGGCATTTAACGTAGAATGATGCATTCTTGCTTGAACTGGAGTTAATGAAATGATTTAATGAGTACATTATGGAGCCCTAATGGCCTGACTAAAAGTAAACAAACCAACCTAAGTATAAGATTAATTTCTACTGAATTCAGTACAATTTAAATCTTTTAAATATAAATAAATAACTATTTTCCTAAAAAAAAAAAAAAGTTTTAAGTCAGGATACTGGCTAATAGTAATTTATAACAGTATCTTTTGTGGTATTTCTACTATCTACTAATTGTGAATTGCAGAGATTACAGCTTCATTAGGACAGGAGTACAAATATTCTGGTTAATGGACATGCTTTGTTAGTGGTGCTTGACTTGATAGCTAACAGGAAAAACAGACTCTGAAGATTAGAAATAGTGGTAAATTTTAAATGAGGTAATTATTTTCTAATATTGGTCTATGGCAATTAAGTTATATTAATTGATACATTTTACTTTAATTATAGCACTATTTTTAGGTCTTCCTTGAAATCATGAAGAACCTGAAATTGGCATAGAACCAGAAAGGCACTTTTGTGTACCTGTAGTCTTGTCAACATCATGAATGGGAAATGTGTGATAGTGTCTTTTATCTTCCTGAATAAATCTGCCTGTATTCTGTGTTGCCTGAAAGCCCTGGGTCACATCACCTTAATGATCTCTTCTTTGCTAAAGCTTTTTATGCACCTGAACTAAACATAGTGATGTGAAAGGCTGTAAAGATAGGACAGTGTTTAAGGTATCCCTTGCTGCTGGACCTGTATTTCATAAGGGGTAATATTTCCTATTCTATGCTTATGTTGTCTAAGGGGAAAAGAGCTCTGAAGACTAAGGCTTGAATGGCTGCTACTTTGGAAGCAGCATCTAATTTGTTATCCTTCCTGAAAAGAAGTATTTGGTTTATTTTTTATGTCATTGGCTTTTTATTTCAATAATATATAGTAAAGATACTTAAAGTTCTTTTAAAAGATGTTTCCAACACATAATTGTAAAATTAATGAATAAATATAATTGGTTTGTAACTGCAATATTAATGTAGTTTAAAAGAACACCTCTGCTCCAGTGTTTGTGGTGGCTGGCATAGTACTTGCATAAAACCTCCTGCTCTTATTGAGCTTGTCCAAGGAAGAGATAGAATCTGGCTTTGAAAGAAACTTGTACCTTGAAATTGATTCTGTAAGGGTTCACTTTGCCTCTAGCCTGCAGTTTCTTAGCCTGCAGTCCTCTCCAACTGCTTGAGAGGACGTTGTGAAGAGGTGGGCACTGGTCTCTTCTCACAACTGGTGATAGAACAAGAGGAAGTGGCCTCAAGCTACGCCAGGGGAGGTTTAGACTAGACACTAGGAAGACCTTTTTCACTGAAAGGGTTGTCAGACATTGAAACATGCTCCCCAGGGAGGTGGTTGAGTCACCACCCCTGAATGTACTTAAAAGGCATCTAGATGTGGTGCTTGGGGATATGGCTTAGTGCTAGGCTTGGCAAAGAGGGGTTCATGGCTGGACTGGATGATCTTGAAGGTCCTTCGCAACCTAAGTGGTTCTACGTTTCTATAATTTGTTGCAGTGGCTTCATACTAGATTAGGACAAATGGTCTCATCAGGCATAAATATAGATGAAATATTAACAGCTGCAGGTTCCATTTCTGTTATGTCTTCCTGCATAAAAGCAGTTGAATGGGACAAGAGAAAATGAAGCATCCATCTCTTCTTGCTTGGTCAGGGCCCCTTGCTGGGTTCTCTTATTTATGCAGTAAGTCAGAGTGGTGCCAGCTTCAGTAACTGTAGAACTGGGAAACCTGATGGTATCGTTTCCCTTTGTGCCTCCCTGCTCTTGCAAACAGCTCTGGTTTGTCAGAAAATTTTGCTAATTCATGTGTAGTGTGGGTAATTGTTTCATTGTAATGTAAGAATCCATTGTTCACTAATTATTCCTTTAGGTCTTTCACTATTGAAATCTGGTCATACTTAGTCTGCTATTACAGGGAAATTAATATTCAACAATTAGGTTTCTGAAAAAACAACAGAGGAGTAAAGGCAATTCTGGATTATAAAAGATTAATCCTTTATCTCAAGGAGGTGTTATTTCAAAATTAAAACCTCCCTTTTCATTACAGCAATTTTCCCATGACTTTTCTCATGTCATTTTATTTCAGTAATTCCTATGTGTGCATTTTTAAGATGCCACCCTTTATATTAGCAAAACTTAATACCAGAGCATCACTTCACTTCTGTCTACAAGACTTTTTTTCCACCTCCAGCCTGTTGCTGAGGGATACCTTTGATTCTGAAAACCAGTCATCCTGTGTAGCAGCAGGGCCAGCTTTTCTTGCCAGCGAGACGCTGCTTCTTACAGTGAGAAGAAAATGTCCTCTACAGAGGCAGTGAGTTTGACCTCTACTTTTGTAGATCTATAACTTCTTAGAAGCCTGTCTCTGTGTTCTCAGAATTGTTTCTAGGAAAAAGAGCTGCTCTGAGCAGCTTGTAGGAGGGGTAGATTGCTCTGGTGGTCTTTCATTGCTTGCAGTAATGGCCCCTTGTGCTGCTTTTAGTGCAGTGCAGACACAGAGCTATAAAAGGAATGAGCCAAATAGGCTTTTAAACAGTCTGTGTTTCCAGGTGGAGGTGATCATCATGTAGAATAGCCTCATCTAATTTTTTGTGTTTCCAAGAGGAGAAGAAAAAAAAAATCATTACACTTGCTGTCAAGAGATACATTTAAATAATCTTTAACTTATCTTACCTTCCCATAACAGAAACCTCTAAAATATAGGACACCAGTGTCATTTGTATTCACTAATGATGTTGCCATTTGCTACATGTGTGATTGCTTCTTCTAATGCTTTATTTTCTAAAAGACCAGCATGTCCCTGGCAATCATCCAAATTGGTATTGTATTGCAAAACCATAATGAATATGAGGAAGGTGATGTCCTAAATATGTCACTGAGATTCGTTTACTTGTGGCCTGAAATAAATATAAACTGTTGGTAAAGACTAAAGGTCTTTGTACAGGTTAAAAGCCATATGAAACTGAGATGGGTAGATCATTTCACAGAAAAAACATTATGACAAAGTATAGGAAAACCTGGCTCGAAGAATATTAATTGCACAGAAAAATAATCCTAAATTAGGAAAAGATAGAATTAAATCTGCCTTTGTAATCTTAGCTGACCTCTCCAGACATTTATATAACGACACCTGTTAAATATGATATGATTTTTCTTGATCCAAAAAAAGAGGAAGATTTGGTCATTTAGGTTTTTCAGAAAGAGTGATTTCAAGTAGAGTTTCCAGAATGTTATTTCCTAATTATTATGGATTCTTAGTGCCTTGTTTATTCTCTGCCCCTGCCTGTTTCTACTCTAGTCCCATTCCCAACCAGGAAATAGTTACAATAGTAAGATATAATAGCTACATTAGGAATAAGATATTTGCTTAAGTATCCTCAGCTGAGGACGTTGTACAAAGAATTTCTATCTCTGTGAATTTGTATATATAAAGCTTATAATTGTAAGGGTTCCGAGTTTTTGTATAAATTTAATTTTTACACAGATTAATAGAAAGCTAAAAGTAAAGTCTATTTACGGCTTTTGGTGCCAGAGAGCCTGTTTGTCTGCATTTTTGGATGAGCAGTTTGTTGTTTTTTTTCCTAGTGTAAACTCATCTGTTGTCCAGACCTTTAGTCTGACTTTTTAAATTCACAAATCAAAGGTAACTTGAATTAATATTCGGGAGCAAAAAGAACTGAGCAATATCCTTCTCTAAATCAGATTTTACAACATTTAGGGATTACCTTAACTGAATAAAAAGCTAACAGTTTCCTATTTCCTAGTTTCCATATATTATTTATGTATAAATTTTATAAAATGCTCTTCAGTGGTAATAAAGGATAACAAACTAGGCAAAAAAGTAAAAATGAGCACTGACTTTAGGAACGTGAACTGGATACTTGGATTAGAATCCATCCACAAGACGGGCCAACCCTGAACTGAGTGTGAATTCAGGCAATAATAGCAAAATGAAATAACTTCTCATTAATGTACTTTTTTGTGTGGAAGTGATGGGGCAGATTTACAGCATCAGATGGATTTTTATAAAACATCTTATTAGATTTACAGTATTCATAGAATTCATTGTTTAGTTTATTAGGTAGATTATCTCTCTCCATAAATACCTGCTCTTTGAACACCATACACTTAAAAAATAGCAATGGAACCATCTAGCCATGAGTACTAAAACATAGCCCTAATGCCAACTGCAGTGTTTTGGGGTTCAATTTGTACTGCTTTCTTAGCTGGATTTGTAACTTTCCAATTACACTCTGTCACCATCAGGAAGCCAAGGCAGCTGTAGAAGAGACAAGAGCCCTGCGAAGCAGGATTCATCTTGCAGAAGCTGCTCAAAGGCAGGCTCGTGGAATGGAGATGGACTATGAAGAAGTAATTCGTCTGTTAGAAGCTGAAATTGTGGAGCTGAAGGCTCAGCTCACAGATCATTCTGGCCAAAATAAAGTAAGCAAAGCAGCTGCCTGTTGTAGTTACCATGGTTCCGTTGCTGTTGTCATGTATCTTGTTTTCATTTTCTTTTCATCTGCTTTTCTAAAGTAGGTCACTGTTTGTCTTGTGTTATTCAATAACTGGAATGATGCATAGTGAAGGGGATAATGTGAAGTGAATGAGTCTTCCTTTATCCAGATATCTTTGGGCTGGAAAAATAGGAGCTAGATGCATATGTGGGTCATAGGTCCAAATGGCACATCTCAGGCACTGAAACATTGAATAGTTTCTGGACTACGTATATATTGTATTTAAAGACTATAAGTATATTTGTATGCTTTTGTTTTTATATAAAAATGGCCTTCATGTTTATATTTCTGTTAGGAAAATAAGAATAATATGAAGTCCAGTGCAGTTCTTCAGTAAATTTAGGTCTAATCAAGATGGTATTTACACGCTACTAACATTATACTGCCCAAAGAATTTATTCTTTTATTAAATTGAGCCTCATTTTTAAAACCACCTCATCTCCAGTGAGGCATTTCAAACCATGCTCAGGAATAAAACGTTTGAGGTACTTTTACATTTTTCCCCATAATTGTGGGTCTGTTACAGTTTGAATAAGTGCAAACAGGCTGGCATTTGGGTGTTCAACTTGTTTTTCTCATGAAAAATGGGTATGCATATGCATTGCTGAAGAAAAACTACTGAAATGTTGCCTTACTTTATCATGAGAATTAATTCAATATTACAAGATATTAAAAGTTAAAATCTGTTGTGGACAAGCTTGCAAAGAACCTACATAGCAAAAGCATGTAGCTCCCAGGGAGGAGTTCCTCTCATCTAACTGTCAGTGTGTGTCATGAGACAACTCACACCCTACACATATTTTCTGAACATCTGGGTGAGATGCCCCATCTCTTATTTTTTGAAACAATGATTTTAATCAAAATTTTAAGAAATTCAGAGCATGTGGGTTGCTTTCTTAACTCTTGCTTCCTGAGATGCTAGCCCGAATTCCTGAAATTCAGAGTGAGAACTTGAAAATCTGAGTTGAGGTTTGATTTTCTGCAGTCCTTACTCAAAAGTAGTAGCATCAAGTAGATACCAACACTATAGTATACTCTTTTTAGTATAAAAGATTGAGGTCCCTCTGAGGGCTTACCAGTTCCTGCTCCAGCAGTGGACAGTGAGATTACCAAAGAAAGGTGTTTTAATCAACAGGTCCTTTCCAATTCAAAGTGATCATGATTCTGCTGCTTTCTACAGTGCATAGAAACAAATGTGTGTGCTCATTTGCTTCAAGTAAAGATAATATGAGGGGATTGGTGGTTTTTTATCGGAGTTTTCTAGTAGGTAGTGGGCTTTCAGAGAAGATCACCTACAGTGGTGTAAAAGTTTCTTTTTAATTATAGTAATATTTTTCTTCAATTTTGGAAAGTGTTTGGGCATGGGTGTCCATAAGCAGACAGCTAAACAAACATGCCTTTGAGGGCTTGACTTGTGGTCCTTTCACAGCAACAGTGCCAGGGACTCAAGCTGAAACCTCGAGCCTTCAGAACTTGATCTAATGGGGTTCACATTCTCTGCAGCTGAAATACAGAGGGGATGTGCAACACTGATCAATAGATTATACAAGTGCATGTGGAGAAATCCTGGGGGGTAATTATGCCATAATTACTGTGTTGTTGGAAGGGGGTGTGGATGCAAACTAGTGGCCTGAGTTTGTACATAGAGTGGCTATTTATGCCACCCTGCTGGCAGATACTCTCGCCATCAGGTTGGTATTTTTGATCCATTCATGAGTCAGTTTAAAATGTCTTAAGAATCAGCCCTGTTAGCTGCTGTTTGCTGCCAATTTTGCTGTACTTTTATGTCATTTGCCAAAGTCTGTTGCAATTTGGGAGCTGTTTTACAAACAGAGCAGTCATACCTGCCCCAGGAGAGTGTATGTGAAGCATATCAGACATCCCTTTCAGTTCACAACCTGTATCAATGTGACCCAGGGCAGGAAAGTATTAGAGTAAAAGTCTTAAAATATCTTTCCTAGGATAACATCCAGGACTTGAGAAAAAGAGTTACAGTGCTGGACTGCCAGCTGCGGAAATCAGAATCAGCTCGGAAGACCTTTGAGGTGGCTACTGAGAAACTGCTACAGTTTGTAGAGGTAACTTTGCCTTTCATTTCTAGCAACGTTGTAGTTGGAAAACTTTTGTGTTGATGCTTCTGAAGAATCAACATAATAAACTGACTACAGACTGGTTTGCAGACATCCTTTCATTGTTAGAAATGAAGATGGAGTTGAACTGTACAGATCTGTCGAGGAATTTACTTAATCTTTTTGTTTTGCCATACACTAAAAAAATGAAACTGATCATACAATTTTTTTCACCTATTTTTTCTCACATAGGAAAGGATAAAAAGTAGTACTTGATAATATTTTGAAATTACGTAAAATTTTAAAAAGTGATGTTATGATATTTATTTATTTTAAACGGCCTAAATATTTTGGTTTTTACATTTACACTTCTAGATGGGAGAGATGAGACCCTTTAACTACAAATCGAATCGCCCACACTCAAATAGAACATTGAATGATAAAGTGTTAACTTTCTGTCTGTCTTGATTTATAACCTGTTAACTTCTTGACTATGGCCAACAGGTTGTGCATGAAATACTTTCAGAGAATTCTGCTTCCTCGACAGTTTTAAGGTAATGGCACAGTTATTAATATTGAAATGGCAATATTAATATTGAAACACTCGACTCTTGTTTCAAAGTCTCAAAAAACTGTCTTGCAGCTATTTTCCTAGATATTTTTTGCTTTATGTTTCTGAGTGTCATTTTATTGGACGAGGGGGAATGGCATGAATTATAAATTAGGCTTTCAGGATACAGCTTCATTAAAAACCTCAAGATCAAATTAAAACAGTTAGTAATTAAATAGCTATGGTTGTCTGGGATGTTTCCTTAAAGTAATTACAATGTGCTAAGGATTATTTAAAATTGCAAGGATCCTTAACAGTGGGCTATAATTTTATTTTTATTTTACTATTGTTATTTTTTTTTTAAGATTTGCCCAAGCAATTTTCCATCATAATTAATCCAGGAGCATATAAATTAATTGATAATGTGTATATCCATTTCAGTTTTATTGCTTTTCTTGTTTAAAAAGGTACCTAGGGATATTCAAAAAAGGTTTAGAGCAGCCATTGATCCTTCAGAACATCAGCATGACTGTGCCTAAATGTCCCAGATAGTGTTCTATTCATGTTTATGTAATAGTGAAGTTAGTTGGTCTCTGTCCTGCCATTTTTCAGTAAAGCTCTCAAGGAAATAAAATCTATTTAAGTGAAGTTAGCTGGAACTTTATTTCAAAAACATCTGCAGGATCAAACCAGCTATTGTATTGTTGATGTCTGTATTATCTTATGCTAATTCTGGTTAATTAAATGCAGTTCCCATTGGCGCTGCACAAGAATGATGCATGTTTTATGAAATTCATAGGCTTTATTTTTGTATATGGATTGAAGTATAAAACAAAGCTAAAGTGCCAAACTGACTCACTAGCAGTTGTAGCAGGTAAGAATTAGGTCCCATAAAGCACTGTCCCTTCTTAAATACTAATATGAAAATTACTTTTAAGTAGATGACTTTCCTGACACCCACTGAGTTTTTGAGATGTGAAGACTAGATTTTGAGATGTGAATGTTATTTGAATTGAGCTGTCCCAATGACCTGATTCTACAGTCAGAACTGCTTCTGAAGCAGACTCAATTTGGTAGTTTCAATCTTTTTTGTTCATACCACGAGACCAAAACCAATCTAGAAACACAAGTTACTTTATTTAAAATTACCATTTATTTATAATCTTACGAATAAATACATCGTTTTGTTCTCAGTGACAGAAGAACAACATTGTCTACTAAAGCACTTCTCGCACGGTTGGGAAGGATTGGACCTACTGCCACAACAGCTCTTGCAGCAGAAGCCAGAGACCTTGCCAAGTCTGTCCGTGCCATTTTGGAAGTAGACTGTGAGTGAGTTTGTGTGTCTTTGTGTGCATGTCTGCATATACACACACTTAGAGATACTTCCATTCTTCCATCAGATGTTGTGGTGTAGCATCTTGCAATTAGGGGTAGCATGTTTTATTAGTAACCATGTTGGGGGGTTTTTTTCCAAATGTGGAAGAAGGGTCCTGAGTAGGAGTTCTGTTTGGGTAGGGCTAGGGCTGTGCTATGGGTCAGGGGTCCAGAGTCCAGTGTCTTTCAGGATAGTGGAAAACCTGCAAATGCAGGAAAAGGACTCTTGCTGATAAGGGTATTTTGGTTCTGTTATCAGCACTCAACACTCTTCCAAAAACAATATACTGAGAATTCTCTGTAGTTCAAGATCACCTTGATCTAAACGTTAGGAGGAAGAAGTAAAAAGCAACCATCACATGGGATTCTAGAGACTTGGGTTTACTTGTCTCAAAAGACATCATCTGAAACTCATTGAATGAGAAGATTTCTACAAATCTTTAAAAAATCAGAGCATTATTGTTAAGGATTTTGCTTGAGGAAGCAAATGCAGAGCTTTTAAATCTGGTATCAATTCATCAGCAAAGAAGCTAGATATTTTTAATTTAAAAAGGGGATGTGAGCTGCCAGACCAATGATTGGTAGCACTGGAGGACAGTGCAGGTTCAGTAGTGAGCAGAGGAGTTCAGTATGTGCCTTCATAAGCCATAATTAGAATATAAAGCTGTTCCAGAATACATTTTTTCCTAGTAAACTTAAAGCAGAAAATTAATGCCAAAATGAGGAATATGAAGATTTCCAGAATCATGTAAAACTATCAGAATTTCCTGCCTTTTTTCCTGCTCTATTTTTGTACCAGAATATTTACAAAATGTTATTCTGCTGAATTTACATGAACATATGTCAAGTAGTGTCTTAATGAAGATTTTACTGCTGTAGGGAAGGAGTGTAGCCTGCAGTTTCATTTGGAGGTACTTGTATGTCCTGAGGTCATTGCCAGCAGTGTGTTCCCATTAGTTACAATTATGCCAGTTCCTGACCAGTTACTGTAATAAACCACATGCAGTTTTAAATCTGAGAAACAGCTGTGGTTTATTATACAATTCCTAGTTTAGATCATAAAAATGATTGTATATTTTGGTCATTTTTGCCTCTAGTTGAGCAGATATGTCAGTTCTAATCCAGTTTCACAAATCCAATGATTTGTGAAAATAAAACAAATGGCCTGACACATTACAGGAGTTTTTTGAAAGCTGATGAATTATGATTGACAGTAATTGTATAAAACATTTTAATATCCTTTTTATTATGTTTGGGAAGTAATTTAGAAAGGGGCTGAATAAATATATTTGTTGAGGAAATGTTTAAAGATGTGAAAAATGTCTTATTTGACATTTGTTATACAATATATTTATGACATTACTCTATGGAGAAGAAAGCAAAATAAGGAGATAAAAAAGTTGTTCGAAGTGTTGAGAATATTAGAATTAGAGTGACTGGAGGAGGTGAAAAGAGTAACAGTGGCCAGGAGAGGAGATAATTGGTTTTCCACCAGTGGCAACGGTAGAGTTGTCATCTTGAATTGTTTCTATCACACTACACAGGAAACCGTGCAAGGAGAACTTTAAGTTCTAAATGCAACTGAGTCTTAACATGCAGTTGTGTCAAACATAAGGGGTAGGATAGATGTTAGAAAGCTCTGGAGACATAGCAGGGATCCATTTTGTGAACCTGAGAGTTAAAAATAGCTCTGCAGAGAAGGATTTAAAGATTGAACATCACCCTTCTTGAGTTCATTCTGATTTGGAGAGTATTACAGATAGATTTGGGCTCTGATGAGCTTGTGTATGAGATTAAAGATTTAAAGCTCACTCTTTCAAAAAAACAACAAACTAGTAGTTAAGGGAGAGTAACTATTTAGTAGCATTCTGGCTGCAGTTCTTTATGCCACATTCTCACAGAATGTTTCCCATGTGGTCTTCAGTTTTCTTGCAGGTGAGCTGTCATAAATGTATGTCATGTGTATATCAAATATACACAAATACTCAAATATCAGACATCAAAGAAAAAAGTGCAATAGACATGACCTTTTTTTCAGAAAGATATCCTCAACCTAATAATTTGTCAATTATTTGTTAGAGAATTGGAAAGCATATATTTGAGGTTGCTAAGTGGATAAAAACATACAGCTGGGCAACCACTATTGTATGTTTTACCTTATAAATAGATCTTTCAGTATTTGCTTCCATTTGTACAACATGAAGTAAAGAAGCCCTACCCAAAATACCTTTTTGGTTCACTTACAATAAACATGAAGCAAAGCCTAGGTGCAAAGGCAGGGCTGAGGAGTGTTCTTCCAAAAGAGAGCTGTTTCTCTTGTTAAAGATCATCCTTGACAACCAGGTCAAAATGACCTATTTATGAATTAGCCACACAAACTGTCTTCTTCCTCTGTAATAGCATGACATTTTGCCTCAGGGAAGAAGCTTGAAGAAGTTCAGAGTATTCCAGAAAATCTCCAAGTACATATAGCCCTGTGACAATGCTGCAGATCAGTTTTCAGCTTCGTAGGTTGAATGTCAGCTGTGTGGAGTCAGTTTGGGGATTCTACAAGTGAGAACTCTTTAAAACAAAAAAACAGGTCATTTTCTGGAGCTTACAACTACAGTTTCCTCAAAATCCAGAAATGCAGATAAGAAAGTAATAAACAGAATAATCAAGCTCATCCCTTGAAAACACTCATCCTTCATCTTCTGGGAGGACTGTAAGCTATTTTTAGAAGTCAAGTCTTGAGAGGCCTTTCTGCTTTGTAGAATACAAGTATCTCCTGAAGACAAAGAAAATTACTTTCATCATACAAAGGATAATGCCTCTGTGAAAGAAATGTAACATTTAAAAGTAGTTGCTGGCTGCACTTAGAAGTCCACATGGTGCAAATTGTGTTAAAAAAATAATCTAGAAAGCATTTTCTTCTTTTCGATTACAAAATTAGAAAAGAAATAGGCTTGGTACTGGTAATGGCCAAAATCTGATTAACCCAGGAACATACTTAGCTCTTCGTAAAGTAGCAGGCAATTGGCATTTTGAAATGTGCACTGGAATAGTGCAGCTTTCAAGTGTTTTCACTGCTAATTTCCTTACTCTGCCTCTGAAATTTCTCTCCACAAATACAGTCTTCCTTTTGTTGATTAATTCCAGTTATCAGTATCCACCAAGTGCTGTGGGGTCTGCTTCTCTGCTCAACAGGAACTCAAGCACTGCATCTTAAACCGTCTTTTCCCAACATGTTCCTGGGATCTGACACGTGGCAGTCATGCTGAAGTGCAAATGATCTCCAAATTAACATAGATTCCAAAAATCCTGCTTACCTTGCTGAGACTCAGCTTGCCAGTCACAGTAGTCGCTATACACTTGTTTCTGAAGATCCTCCAGGCAGAAGTTGAGTTGCCCAGTTTTTGTGCTAATTTTCCTTGTATGCTGACTACTTATAAAAAGAAAGCAATGGCAACTTCTGGTGGTCTGCATCTGTTAGTGCTTGTTCTCTTGATAGTTCAGTTGCTTTTGGTTTTTGGACCACAAAGTCCTACATGTCAGACATTAAAAGCTGAAATATGGAATCTCTCAGCTTAGTTTTTCTTTAAAATGTATTATGATCAATAGCCAAAACCATTCCATATTTAGCCATGTATAGTTGTCCCTTCCCATTCTTTTGACAGTGTGAGAGGAACAAAATTGTAAGTCTTCTCAAATAATAATTTTGCTACTCAAAAAGCTCTAATCATGCTAAGTATTCCTATTACTTCTATTTATTTGCCGTGACCCTGGTGTGTTTGCTTATTACAACAGAATTAATGTCATATACATTCTTGCTATTTTGTTCTTGAAATTAAAGGTACAACAGTGTTAGAATTCTGTACGGATAATTGACTGTAGTTCATCAGGAGAGTTCTGAAAAGCTGGCATCCAAGTGTAGGCTGTTCCTCTCTACTTGCCCCTGCCCCCTGGTTTATGTCTTTGTATCAACTTCCAGATGTAATTGTAACATAGACAGGCATACCCTGGCTAACTTGGCTGTTGTTAATTAGACTAGTGATATTAAAGATGCATTTGCAGAGACTTATTATCAAGAGACAAGTCCTCTGTTGACTCCAAGAATATTTCTGGTTGCTATGTTTGCTGAAACTCATGCTGTTATGTCTTTTTATATTTTTAGTATCAGAAAGAGAAAATTATTTCCTGCAAGATCATCTTTGTGGGGATAATTCAGCACTGGGAGGGTAGCATCCCTTTAATATTCTTTCAGCTAATGAACTAGAAATGTACATTTTCTTCCTTACTAGAAGAGCTGCTTGGGAAGCAGCATAATGGTAACTAAAGAGATAACTCTGTGTATTCATTGTTCTGGCAAGGCCATAAATATTTCAGTGAATTACTTAAATCAGAAATAGAAGAGACCTATTAAATTATACAATTTATATCCTGAATGCATCTGTACAGCTCCCCTTTTTAATAGCTTTTGGCTAGCAAAGGAAATAAATCTTAAAATCAGCATGGTGTGCTTCAAAGATAAAGAGACTGTTTGTCAAATAACATTTTTCTGAGAGTACCTCCCTTAGAAAATACTAATTTGGTGAAATTGAACTGCATTATTTGTTCAAAACTTTCAGTGGTGCTTAAGAGCCAAGTAGATGTGATGCTGAGGGACATGAGTTAGTGGTGGACTTGGCAGTGCTGGAGTAATGGTTGGACTTCATGAGCTTGAAGACCTTTTCCCCTTTTCCATCCAAAATTATTCTGTTCTATTCTAACAGCAACAACTAAAGAGGTAATTTTTCCCAAAAGAGAATTTATCAATTATTTTATTCATTGAAAAACTTCACAGCTTTACTAGACTCTGAAAGTTGAAGAATTTTCCCACAAAACAGAAATACTTAATGGGAGGGTCATTTAATTTCTGTAGAAAGTAAAAAGAGGGAGCTGTTAAACGAACATTTTACTGCTGAATCTTGCC